TCAGAGGGATCCTCAGTTACATTTCCCATCATCTGTTATACAGAGAAACAGGAGGGCCCACAGAGGAGGAAGGAGAGATTCGAGAGCTTTATTCTCTGGAAGCAGTGAGATTCAGAGTGATTTTCCAGGGGGTTTCCTGGGTGCCTTGTTCCAGGCAGTCCATTTGCCTTCCTAGTACTTAGCCCCCTCTGACAATTTTTTTTTTTTAATGTGCCTTTTGGGATGGCTAGAAACTGAAGTAGAAGTAGACTTGAGGATGATAGAGTTGGGACAGTGTCTTCCTTCTCATGTGGGGAGGTGAGCACACTTACAGATACTGCAGATTCTTTTGCTTCACAGTTTCCATGCCTTCTGCCCAGCTTAGTTTAAGCAGTGAAGACTTTTTTTTTTCCCTTTTCTCCCATGACACCTACCAGAGGAAGTACCACCTCAGTTCCTCTTCCTCCTCTTGCCTTTCACCTGGGCTCTCAGACCGAATTAACATACTGACCCATTTATATTGCAGGTCTCATCTTTGGTGTAGTTAGCATTTCCCTACCTATTCCTGTGGCTAGAATTGTTTGGGTGGTCACTGGACAGGAAGAAACAAACCCTACTTACTTGGGCCAAGGCTCTATATTCTGCCTTTCTTCTTAGATTCCCAAAAGAAAAGGGGGTTTGAGTTTATGAGAAGCAAGTGCTGGGCTAACAAGGCTCTTGACTGAGCCTCCTGCCTGTTCAGTGCTCCTCATCTGATGCAGAAGCATCACTTTTGATAGCTAGCACTGGAAAAATGAAATCATCTGTTTGAAGTGAAGGGACTCATTTTTCTTTGCTTTCAGCCCATGTAAATATTTAAATAATACAGTATTAACATCTTTGTGCTGCTTCCCATTAGCTTGTAGATTGAGCCATACTCTGGCTGCCTCTCTACCTTCCTGGGGGCAGTTTTCTTTAACTTTCAGAATAGTGATTTTAAAACTTAAAAAAAAAAAAAGGAAAAACAAAATAACCTATCCTTACTTACAAGCATTACAGATTGTATTTAACTTTATCACATATGATAGAGATATATATGCTGTAAAATTAGGGAAAGGAACTTTCTAATAAACCAATGATTTGTGGAAACTTGGCAGTCTGTTGTGATTGTTGCCCCATCCATTCAAGCTGGGAAGGGATGGAGTTACGGGCTATAAATAACATTTTGTGAAGTGATCAGGGGATAGATTCTTGTGCACGAGTTGCTTATGATGTTTGGAATTGAGCTTCTCAAGACAGGCTGCCCAAGTAGAGGGGGGAAATTGTGCTGTAGAAGGAAATAATCGTGGTTAATTTTCTTTCGGTCTTAAGTGGATGTCTTGGAATGTGCACCTCCTTTCCACTCTCCCACAAGAATTTTCTTCTGTGTCTACTTTTTTCCTCAGTTTAGATATATATATAATCTGTGTGGTAGAATGTATGGCACGTAGGTGCTCACTAAATGGGTTTGGAATTTCTGGCTTTGACTTTTAGGATTTGGGATGAACTTCAGGGTGATGGGATTACAAGTCATCTGCCTGGCCTTTGCCTTCCAGATGGAGTTTTGTATACCCGACCAGTCTTCACTTATTCTCCTTAACCTTTTAATACTACACTGCAGTGTGTGAGAGCTACCTGGTAAAAGGAAATGTGCTCTAATTGTTAAAGCAGATAAAAGCCTCTATCTACTCTTCTGTTTCAAAAAAAAAAAAAAATCACAAAAGCAGAGAAAGTTTAGCATCAAAAGCTAACCATAGATTTACAGTGATAAGGTTTCCTCTCTCCCTCAGCCTTTCAGGAAGGAGTAGTACAATGTCTCTTTCTTTCCTGTTCTCTCATACAGCTCCCCTTGACGAAAGAGAAGCTGTTCAATTTGAACCTTGGGTTGGATGCTGAGATCTGCCTATTTTCCTAAAATAGCAAAATCCCTGCCCAGAAAGAAGGCATGTTAGGAAATGAAAGTGACTTTCTGAGCAGGCAGGGTGCAGTGAAAGAGGCAGACTGGCCTATAGAGAGTGCTGTTAGGGGGGCATGTGCAGGTGTTTTGATTCCAGTAAGGGTTCTTTCAACTACCTGCTCCAGCCACCTGTGCTGGCAACATGGACATGCTCCCTCTCCTACACCCTTGATGACTAAATCGGGCCTTGTCAACCATTTCCATTATTTGCCAGAAATACCTTCACCTCCCCTTTATCAGCTCATGTCTGAATTATTGTAGCATTTTCCTGGCTGGGCTCACCAGAATCTAATTCCCTATCCCATGTAAGCTTACTGGCTTTTCAGAATCTGGGTGTGATTCATTTTATATTTACTCCTCAGTAAAACTGTAAGCTCAGAGAGGACGAGAACTGATTCTTATATTTCCTTTTTTTTTTTTTAAGTCCTTTAGAGTGTTTTACATAGAGTTGAACACATAGTAAACATTTTGACTATATTTAAACATGAACAAAAAAAAATACAGGACTAAACAAGGATTTAGCAAGGAAGCATCAAAGATGATAAAGGATTTTTATATATCCTCCACCTAGCTCAGTGCCACATAGAAATTCAATAATTATTTTTTTTAATTTTTTTTTAAGATTTTATTTATTTGACAAGGAGGGAGAGAGCAAGTACAAGCAGGGGGAGTGGCAGAGGGAGAGGGAGAAGCAGGCTTCCTGCTGAGCAGGGAGCCCAACTCTCAGGGCTTGATCCCAGGACCCTGGGATCATGACCTGAGCTGAAGGCAGACGCTTATCCGACTGAGCCACCCAGGTGCTCCAGAAATTCAATGATTAGCAACTTAATGAAGTTTTAACAAAACTTTGGATTCACTGAGGAATTCTAGGACTGAAGGTTGATGGGATGGGAAAGTGGGACCAATGTATCAACACTCCTCTTTCTACTCTCCCAGAAGGGAGATCAACCCAGCTCTGGCTCCAAAGGAACACCCGTGAGAAACCGAACTCTCGAATACCAAACTTCTCTCGCTTCCCAAATCTGATCCTTCTAATTCCAATTTTAGCTGATGGTACCACTGTCCTACCAGCCAGCCAGGCAACAAAGCTTTGAATTACTTTGACACCTCCCTACCACATCCAGTTACTAATCTAGTAAGGGATAGGATTTTGAGCTGTGTGCTGAGATGGTGAATTAGGGGAACGGAGGAGCTGAACGGACTCCGGGATGGCACAGGATAGCTGGGCAGGAGGTGCCTGGGTAGCCCAGTCGGTTAGGTGGCCGCCTTCGGCTCAGGTCATGATCCCGGGGTCCTGGGATCGAGCCCCGTGTTGGGCTCCCTGCTCAACGGAAGCCTGCTTCTCCCTTTGCCTCTGCTGGCTCTTGCTGTCTCAAAATCTTAAAAAAAAAAAAAAAAGGAGGGGCGCCTGGGTGGCTCAGTCGTTAAGCCTCTGCCTTCCACTCAGGTCGTGATCCCAGGGTCCTGGGATCAAGCCCCACATCGGGCTCCCTGCTCAACAGAAGCCTGTTTCTCCCTCTCCCACTCCCCCTGCTTGTGTTCCCTCTCTCTGTCAAATAAATACATTTTTAAAATCTTAAAAAAAAAAAAGGATAGCTGGGCAGGATAAGACGGTGGTTAAGTTTGGTTAGAAAATATAGAGTAAAAGGAGGATGTGGCGGTCTTCCTTTACCCTGAGCAGATCTCTTGAATTTCCTTCCTGAGAACCTGCTTTTTTGGGGAAGACCTGCAGTGCCAGTAAGACTTGGCATTCCTCTTCTTGTCATCCAGAGAAAATTACCTTGCCTTTCTGCTCAAAACTATTCTCATTCCACTGTGACTCCATGTTTGCATCTTCCATCCTCAGTGCATGCTCCCATTCAGTCCGTCTGTCAGCAATGCCTACTAGGTGTTGGGCTTTTGGCTAGGCCCTGGGGCCACAGAAAGGAGACTTGCTCTCAAGGGAGTCATGGACACAATCATGTCCATGAATGGACCATGACTAAACAGTGTGATCACTGCTGTGCCCACGTGTGTCAACTCCAGAGTGCCAGCCTGAGGAATCGAGGGAGGCTTCCCCTAGGCAATGACCCCACTAGAATCAAGTCTTGATTGGACAAGAGCTCTGTCACCCAAGAAAGAGTGAGGGTCTGCCTTCAACTGAACTCCTGGTATATAGTCCCAGAGCCTGTGAACCACAATACCCTGGACTCCACTGTATCCCCACTTCCTTTCCCCTTCACCACCCCTTCACCAGCACCAGCTGCATTGCTGTGACCACACTAAGACTTGGCCTGAGATGGAGGGAGAGTGAAGCAGCTTGCTACACCAATATGGCTGACCAAGACCCTGGAAGGAGGAAGTGGGTAAGTGCCTTATCCAAAAGGATATAGCAGCCTCAAGTCTTATCAGGGGGACAGCAGCTTCCTTCCTCCTTCCTCCACCTCTGACCAAGTCACAGTGGGCCACAGCAATGCAGGCAGCGGTGAGGTTGGGACGAAGAGCTGTAAAACGGCTAGAGTGGAGGTGTACGGACCAGTTCATGGTTATGCTACCCCAAGCAGAAAGGAATGGTGACTTAGACTAGCATGGTGGGAGTGGAAATGTGAAGATTCAGGAGACATAGTTGAGAGGCAGAACCAACAGGACTTGGTGATAAACTACTCTTAGGGAAAGGGAGGAGTCATGGCTTTCAGTCATTAGCATCCACCCCCGGGGTGGCCTCACCCCCTTTCTGGCAATCCAAGAAACCATATGGCTTTTTCCTCTGCCTGCTGCTCAGCAAGTGGGTTCCAGTTTGATAAGAAAAGCCTTCCTGTGGTGGAGACTGAAAGGAAGAGGAAGGAGCTCACCCATTCCTGCCTAGGAGGTTGTGGGAGAAGGAAGATGGCCAGAGCTGTGTGTCCACTTCATGCCCTCTGGCTTCTGGAGTGGGTGCAGCTGCTCTTGGGACCTGGTGCCTTCCCTCCAGCCTGGGCCTTGAACCTGGACCCAGTGCAACTCACCTTGTACACAGGCCCCAATGGCAGCCACTTTGGGTTTTCACTGGACTTCTACAAGGACAACCATGGGAGGTGAGCCTGGGGTGAAGTTTGGGTGTTGGGAGAGAGGATTCCCCACCATCACCACTTCTGTGAACCTCAAGCTCCCCATTTGCTATAGAGGTTGAGCAAAGAGACTTTTAGGCTCTATTCAGAACGAGTTCTTTTTAGGAATACTGGCAGAACTAGCTCAGGTAAGGGTGTCAGGGAGGGGCACAAATGGGAAGGTGGACACCAAAACTACAGCAAGAACAAAGGGAAGATAAAAGTTGATGCCTTATTTTTTCCCTCAAGGATCAGTTGTATGACCCACTCCACCTTGGTCTCCTCCAAATACAGAGAGGAGCACATGTCTGAAATTGACTTGCAAAACTGTCTACCCACTCCCACCTTGCTTTTCTACTCCATGCCTCTCATCCCCATCAAAATTACAGATATTTGAAAAGAAACAATAGAGCATTAATGGCTGGGATTAGTCAGCTGCGAAATCAGACTTCCAAGATGAGAGTCCTGGTTCCTTCTCTTTATAGTAACTACCCTGCACCAGGGACTTACTGTGGTAGCGCTGTGATGCCCACCCCTGGGGATGGCAGGCAGCCCTCAAGTATCTGACTCTTGGGGGATTTCTCTGCTGAAGAGTCACCTCCCCCAAAGTCCCCTTTCCAAGGTGGCCTACAACCAGCGACTGATCAATGAGGAGTGTGGAGGGAGGAGAGAGGCGTGAGGGTGTGACGTTCTCACCTCAACTTGGGACGGCTCTGAAGGGTCCTTCTAGCTCCAGAGCTCCCAGGCTGTTGGCCCATGGCTGTCATTGGGCCTGAATCTGCACCATACTCCTTTCTCTGCCCACTCCTGCTCCTTTCCCTTTCTTTTTTTTTTTTTTTTTTTATTTGTTTATTTGACAGAGAGAGACACAGTGAGAGAGGGAACACAAGCAGGGGGAGTGGGAGAGGGAGAAGCAGGCTCCCCACGGAGCAGG